CTTCCTTCGTTCAATCTCTTGTCGCCGGCCGACTCGCATTCTTTAAATCCTCCCGTCTCTACATTCAGTCTTTCCAAGTCACCACACAGTCGCAATCATGAAGTTCACTCTCATCTCTCTGCTCTCTCTCGTTGCTCTTGCTGTTGCCAGTCCCATTTCTATCCCTCAGCGTCTAGATGGTAAATACTCATAATCCTTTATCTCCTACCATGGGAGGCTGCCCATATCGCTGAAATGAGCTCTTGGTTCCTTATACAGCGATGAAGAGCCGCGTCAACTTCTGAATTTGTCTAACTAAACTAGATATCACAGTTCGATCTCCACTAGGCGCCGAGGAGGCAGCCATGTCTGATGCAAGCGGCAATGTTGTCGCTTTCGATTCCACCAAAGTACACAAGAGTGCGTAACCCACATTCCGCGGCGCGTATTTATACTGACGGCAAATATAGCTTCATCCTCCTAAAGGGAGATCCGGAGAAGCGTGAGATTATAAACTAATGTCTTGGTGTTTGGAAAGTGGGGGAATTTCTAGAATCCAATTGAAGGATAGTTAGGCTTGATCTATGGATTAATGGGTCTTATTTCTGGCCAGATATATTAGTCAATCCAAAATTCTTGCCATCCATATTGATGTGTGAAGAACATGCATGCGTGCCTAACCACTGATAATCATCAGTGATTCAGATGAATGAGTTTATTTACAGTATCCACTTAACTCGTAAGTTCTGAGTATTTATCCTATATATTACTACCGACTTCTTCGATCGCCTTAATAAGCCCGTCGACGGTCCCCTTTCTCGTATCTCTATTAACAACAACTCTAAAAAAGCTTCCTCTATCTCCAGGTGCGTAATCTACCATGAATCCTCTTGCAATCAAAGCTTGCGTAATATCTTTTGTTCCTTTTGTATTGACCTCGGCATCTTCACTTAGCTCTCCTCCTTTGGCGAAGTAGAAGCAAACCTGCAAGCATGGAGGTGGATTCTCCGAGACAAGAACAAAGTTCGACCTTTGCGCGATCTCGTCTGCAAAATAAGCCGCCAAGTCAAATGCGTGGTCAACCTGTGCTTCGAACCCGGAACGGCCATAGTATATCCAAGAAAGGGCGAGCTTCAGACTGTCACCTCGTCGACCACATTGGAGTGTCAGGTCCGCAAGATCCCACACCTCGCCATCATCATCAACTTCATGGAAGAGATATCCTGCCCTCAAGGTATTTGCCTTGTGGAACTTGTTCAGGTCCGGAGTAAGGAGGAACGAGCATGTCACTGGTGCACCTAGCATTTTATGCGGGTTGCACGCTAGTGAATCTGCAAATTCGACTCCAGAGAGCTTGTGTTTTTGCTTTTTGGAAAAGATTGCAGGGCCTCCCCAGCTGCCATCGACGTGCAGCCATAGGTTATGTGCTCTGCAAATCTTGGATATCTCAAGGAAGGGGTCGTACGATCCTAAAACTGTGGTACCTGCTGTCGCATTAACATATAGGGGTGTTTTGCCTTCTCTTTGAGTTTCTCGGATCAGTCTTTCTAGTTCAGACGGGATCATCCGTCCCTGAGAATCTACTGGGACGGGTTTCACGTTCTCTGTTCCCATACCAAGCATTTGTGCTGCTTTCTCGAGGGAATAATGCCCATGAGCACTTGAGAATAACACAAACTGGTGGTTTCCATTACCCGTAGCTTTCGTTTCTGGATAGAGATTGTTACGAGCTATGAGAATTGACGTAGTATTTGAGGCACTGCCGCCTTGGGTCGAAATTCCACCTGCATGTGGACCATTGAAACCGAAAAGGTTTGCGAATGTTCGAGCAGTCGTCTTCTCGATTATTGAAAGGGCAGGTGACACTTGGAAGACATGGACCTTGCCTGAGTAAACAAAAGCCATAATGAGATGAATTATGAGAGGCGGTTACTTACATTTGTATTCAGAACAGCTAGAATCATTTCTGATATTACTCCAACCTACCGATTTCTTAGTATGCAGGTCAATGTTACTGAGACAGCTTGCCTTACAGCATTCGTGCTTGAATAAAGTTTGTCCAGGAATCCTTGGTCCCAAGTATTGACGCTGTATTTTAATATATCTTCAATTGTTTTAAGCAATCCATCTTTTCCTACTCCTTCGTTGGGAAGTTCGAAGTTCATAAGTTTTACCAGCTTTTCTGGTTTATAATGTTCGACCAATACTGGTCTAGGTACGTCGCCGGGTACCTGCAGCCCACGGCCAGTAGGCTTAATTGATGCATCTTCATCTGCGCGTCTAATGAATGGGACAATGAGAGATTTTACAGCATCTACTAACTAATTAATTGGTCAATTAATTGTATTTACGTAAATAAGATAAATCATGTTCGATCTAAATGCTTGGGTGAGGGGAGGTGCGAATAAAACTCTGCAGGACTCACTTCGTCGACCTCGTTCGCCCGATTAAATTGCTTGGTAATATGGTTCGTACCGTTACTTATTCCATTTGAACCCATTCTGACGTATATACGCAAAAAATGGATCTAAACAAAGCGAATACTCAAAATATATACGTCTATGAGTCTATATGAATAAAATAATGCAAAACAGAGCAATATTAGGAATCTTAAAAGAGGCAATGGATGACGTGCTGGTATTGATTTACTAAGTGGGCGTAAAGTCGGAAGTTTTACCCTTCACCGCCCGCGTAAAATTGCTAATCTCGAAGGCGAACTTCAGAAAAAGTTCCCTCGATAAGAGACGAGAGCTTCTTGGATATTTTTCCAAAGATATTTGACCTTTCAATTCAACACTCTTCTAGTATGCCTAAAGAACACAAGAAGCGCGGTCGGAGGGAGCAAAAAAAGCTGAAGAGGAGCAGAGAAGACGCCGAGGAGGATGTCAATGCGAGGAAACGGCACAAGTCGCAGGAACCAGAGGACGACACCGAATTCGTAGGAGCGAACAATTCCGAGCAAATTGAGGGCGCACCCGTAGAAATCCCTTATAACGGCGCGGATAGCTGGGGAGGAAATGAAGAAGAAAACGCTCAGAGGCCCTTTTATGGCAATCTAGAAGATGAAGAGCAGGAGTATTTTCGACACGCAGACGAGCTCCTCGAGCTAAATGATTTTCCATCTGATGAAGATCGTTCGCTATTCCTTGCAAATGTCTATCGGGAAGCAGAAGGGAAAGAATTGAAGCTTGCCTGCAGTCAATCTTGCTCACGATTAATGGAGAGGCTAATTCTGCTTAGCAATACGGAGCAGAAAAAGAAGCTATTCGGAAAATTCAGTGGGAACTTTTTACATCTGGTACAACATAGATTCGCCAGTCATTGCTGCGAGACATTGTTTATACGGTCAGCACCAATTGTCACACAAGAACTTACTGGGGATATCGAAGTTGAGCCTCAATCAGCGGAGTCGAAAGACGACGAAGTATATGTGTCAATGGAGAATTTATTCTTGTACACCTTGAACGAGCTCGAGGGACATATGACAGCGCTCCTCACCGATCGATTTGCATCTCACACGCTACGAGTCCTGCTTATTGTATTATCTGGAAAGCGTCTAGAGAAAGGGTCTACGAGATCCTTGCTACAAAGCAAGAAGAAAGAGAAGATTGGAATTAACCATTTCGATACCGATTCAACAGAATTTGCCCTAGGTCAACGCTCTACTCCAGAGTCCTTCCAATTCGCGGTGGAGAAGATCATTTCGGATACGGTTGCTACAATGGACAAATCCTTTATCAGAGTGCTAGCCACACATCCAACTGGAAATCCTTCATTGCAACTTCTCTTGGAGCTTGAACTTACTAATCCGGTAACGAAGAAAAGCGACCAGTCTAAGAAAACCATCATTTCCGTGTTACTTCCTGATGATATTGCGTTACCGGAAAGTGAATCAGCCACATTTGTTAATGGTATAATATATGATCCAATTGGGTCGCGATTACTGGAGACAATCGTGGCATTTGCTCCTGGAAAACTGTTTAAGCAGATCTACCGGATAACATTCAAAGATCGAATTGCTGCACTCTCCCGCAATGAAATAGCTAGCTATGTCGTCCTTCGTGTATTGGACCGTTTAAGCAAGGAGGACTTGCAAGAAGCTGTGAACGGTATAATACCACAGGTGGCTAATCTTGTGTCGAGGTCGAGAACCATTGTTATTAAAAAGCTGTTCGAGCGTTGCCAAGTCAGGAATGTCGATACGAAAGATCTAACCACGGCAATTGCTGAGGGTTATGGTTCAGACCCTTCTACATTGATACTTAAAATGGCGGAAGTAGATCCAGATGCGTTGATAAAGGCTACGTCTAGTTCAAAAGGGAATGATGATACTGCTACAAAACCTCCACCAAAAGCAACAGCAACCCAACTTCATGGGTCTCTTCTCGCCCAAACGATGCTGTCTATCCCTGGACCCTCACCTACTCTCCTCCAAGATAGTATCCTCACACTATCGCCTCCTACACTCATCGCTATGTCCCTCTATACCACCACCTCTCGAATACTCCAAACTGCACTCATTCCAACGGAGACCAACCTTGTGTTCCGACGAAAGCTAATCAACGCATTAATACCACCCGAGCCACCTTCAGACTCAGAAGGGCAAGACGTGATACTCCGTTTGGCGTTAAGTCCAACTGGGGCATATGTCCTAGATTCATTATTAACTGGTACGAAACAATTGTTCTTGTTTGCAGAGAGGATTGCAGGAAGACTGGCAATGTATGAGAGCTTGTTACGAGATTCCTACTCAGGACGTATCGTGTGGAAGAATTGGATGATGGATTTGTATAAGAGGAGAAGAGGTGACTGGATAAAGAAGATAAAAGGCTTGGATGTTGCATCAAAGGGCAAATAATGAAGTTGAATTTTGAGAGAAGCATGATTAGGCGTTCTTGCTCGTTTATGGTCACTGGTAACTGGATGGACTGCAGGGTGAACTGCAGCTTACCATCCAATTTAATGCATTTTATTACACTCATCTGTAAAACAAACAATAGGAATATTTGGGCAAGAGAATAGGGGCGGTAGTGTAATGGCAGCACATCTGGGTTCATAGCCCAGAAGGTCCTCGGTTCAATTCCAGGCTGCCCCGGATCCAATTCTTCTCTTTTTGTGCTTGTAGGTTATTTAAGAATGACTAGACATATTGTCCAAGACTATATTGAACCTCTTATCCCACGCTTTATTTTTGTTATCTTGAAAAAAGGGAGAGAAACCTATCACGTTAGACCAAAAGAAGCGAGATGTAGTGTAACGTGGAAGCTCCCAAACTTGGCGGACCTCTGTCCACTTGCTGTAATTCAAATCCTATAGGAGCTGGATGTCTCGCTATCTGGTATTCAAGCCTAACGCAATACAAGCACTCCCATTGGCTTCGATGAGTGAGAACAGAATCCTCCGTGATATTTCGCGGTCCAACGCTATCATTAATCCTATGCAATGCGAACAATATAAGAATATGAAACTTTATAATGGACGTCAATAATGCATGGCTTATTTCTTCGCCTTTCCTTTTCCTTTTGAAGGCCCCAGTGCAGCCTCTCTCCTCTTTGCTTCTCTTGCTTCAATCTCAGCCCTCTTTGCCTTCTCTTGCTCCTCCCTTTCTTCTTTCTCAGCCTAGTCAATTGTCAGTAAATAGATTGATCTTGTAGAAATGAGACTTGGCCCACTTGTTTTCTTGCGGCCTCTGCCTCTCTCTTCTCTCTGATTAGTCTCAATCGCGCTAGATCCGCTTTGGCCTCATCTGTCTTCCCAGCTTCATGCAATTTCATATACCTCTCCTTTGCTTGCTGAGCTTGTACTGCCTCTCTTTCCCTTCGGCTCAGCTCCACAGGTGGCTTGCTTCCACCCTTACCACCAACACTTAAGCCTTTAACGCCATCTGCTGCCTCATCAACAGCAGAAGGAGCCGCTTTAGCTTGATTTCTTGCTGCTTTAGAGTGGTTGGGGTTTGCAGGCATGTCATCCTCCTCCTCGCTTTCTTCCTCTGAGTCAGTGGGCATATCCCCAGGCTGTGCAACCTTGCCCTTTTTCTTTGCAATAGCGGCTTCTTTCTTCGCTTTGGCAGCAGCCCTGCGTTCTTCTCTGGTCATTGTTTGCTGTTCAACGGGCTTCTCCTCCTCCTCCTCAGATTCCTCCTCGGAATCTTCCTCTGATTCTTCCTCGGACGACTCGTCCGGGTTTCGTTCTGGTATTTCATTTCCATCCTCGTCGAGTGGTCTTAGATTACGGGAGAAATGTTTGCCTCCTGAATCATGTCAGTTAAACAGGAGTTCACGAGTCTGTAATTATCGCGTGCATTGATGCGCTTACCTCCACGGGTGAACTTCTTGAATTTGCCGCCACGACCTCTTCCAGCTGCACCTGGTGGACCTCCTGGAGCCATGATTTAGAAGAAAAGTTGCGATGGAGCTAGGCCGGAGCTGAAAGTGTTTGCTTTATATTTGGAAGTAAGAGGAGGGACTCAATGAATATGGGTGTGTCACGAAGACAAAGGCAAACAAAATCCAATGAGTGTTTGCCTCGCTCTATCTTTGCCTGTCGAGGTGGGTTGGTGGGGTCCGATTCATAGCGAGACAGCCCACCATGGCTAAGCCCAATTAGGAAGCGGGGAATTCTAATTTGCCTGCATCACGTGCCTTCGGAAGAATTCTCCTCCAATGCGCTGCATTCTCTGCGCTCATCAACTTCAGGCCGATAGACCAATCAATAGGCGGCTGATAATTCCTCCGAGTCTTCAAAGAGCGATTTCTATCATACCCCTTCGCAAATTTATAAATAAGCTATTTAACACTAAATATGCCGCTAATATTACATATTCCATTGTCTATAATTATAACTATGACACGGTGTTATCCACCATTCAATACTACAGTATACCCTGTTGTAAAGCTTGCCACTGCCGCTTTGACAAACTACAGGTGAATAAAGGCCGGCTTCACAGTAGCTGGATCCTGATTATTGAAGGCTTCCTCCTCCGTCAGAATATAGCTAGTCCATCTTCTTTCATGTTTTATTGGTGGTTCAAGTTCTGTTTCCGTTTTCAATTCCTCGGCACTTGCTTCTCCGCTTGGCTCATCGGAGCCAAGCGCTGTCTCTACATGAGGTCTCCGTATTCTCAAACCAACAAGAATGCCTATTGCAATAATCTCAATTACGAAGTTAAAGCAATAAAAGCATGCCCGACTATGATACCATCTAGGTGCTAAGATAAACTTTCCCTCAAACAACACGGCAGATCTGAAAGCTGCGCCAAAGGTTAGGAGCGTTGAAGAGAAAAGTAACGCCCCTATTAACCTTCTGAATCGATCTCTACCAAGACGAACAGTAATCGGGACTTTGAATCCAAAGTATGGCACCACAATCCCTGGGACCATAGTGATCACTGGCATGAACGCCGAAACTGTAAACCATACGGCTACGAATTTCTGGATATCACGATCGATTCTTCGTATATTGGCGTCTAGTGTATAAAAGAATTGCACGATCACCACAACGACCATGACAATGAATAGAGGTATTGATAGGTTGTAGAGACCACAGGTGATTCTGATGGTCGTGCGATGCCGAGCATACCACTCTGGATAACTGGCTCGGAATATTGATTGCACAATCAATAAGTTAGCTTCAAATATGACAACCACTCCTGCGGTGACAAAGACCTGGTTTGCTATCGCAAGTCGAATGTCGAGGTCGTTGTGCGCCCATGCTATTCGAAGAGCACAGGAAATTATCCTCAGAAAGCATAATGTTCCAGCATACCAGCATATGACGAAGCTCCGTGCTCGTTTTAAACTGACGAAGAGAATGACAAAATGGAGTGACAGAAGAAGCGTGTATATAACGAGGAATACAGCGGTGACGGGTTCATCGACCTTGGTGTCGGGCAGACCGCCCATTACCGCATAAGGCGAGTAATATGGCGGCCCTGATGTTAAGATCTCCTGTATCTCACTGGGAGTGAGGTTTGACATGCTAGAATCTAGTGTAGAAACTGAGAATATAAATTTCAGCGGAGCGGAGATCCTATATAAGAGAAGATGAAATGTAGTAATTCCAAGGGAATCTTTTTAAGGCTTCAAAATTGGTCATGACTGGAAGCCGTTTTTGTCTCGGCAATGAAGTTTAAGTACTAATATTATGTGTGGAATTTGTAGCACATGAGTGTCTTTTCAGCCTCGGGTCAAGACTGTGGTCCCACAACTGTTAGTTGATATCGTGTGATCGTTGCGACAAGACGACAACACATGTCTCCGGATCGGGCAACTTACTGCCGATGACCGTTGCTGAGGAGGCCCAATATTTGCCCGAGCCATCCACATTTCTCTCTTTTCAAAGGAATCATGTTAGGGACGACGGTGATAGTAGTTAACTAATGTAGAAGCAACTAGCGTCTAGATAGACTAAGGTCCAAGAAATCGAGTGTACGGCAATAGTTAATGTAACCCTAAAATAATAATGCCACCCCGAAAGAAGCTGAATGCTTATTTTTGGACTAAGAGATTAGACTTCCAAGAGCCTTTAAACTTAACGTAATTTTTGATCGAATACTCTCGTTCTTTGTCCATAGTCTAGTACTTACTATGGTTTATGCCCTGTTTTGTAAACAAGAATAAATTCAAAATGCCCTCATAAGCAAGCTTCAGACGCTTTCATTCGTATGGCCAAAAGCTTATTTTGCCGAGGTGGGATGATTTGTACTCATATCGTAAGATTCTCCCCACGCTCATTGGCTTGATTTGGCGTGGCCACGCCATGGAGTCCTATCTCGTAATATTAGGGGAAAAGCTCCTGTGTACGAAAGATGCTTGGCCTATTAGGGTTACCGTCAAGACGTCAACATCACACTGGTATCAGGTATCGATAGGATGAAATTTTACCATACTTCTTATCTTGAATGTGGTTTTCTGACAGGAGAATTCTAAAAGTTATGTATAAGGGTTATCTGCTTTGTAGAGATGCAGTCTATATTCAGAATCTATAGCACTGAATAGGTGCCAGAGACGTATGTGAGGCAGGAAGTGGACGGGAAAGTCTGAGTTAGTTGCAAGGAGACCTATAGCTATATAAACCCTTCATGGCCCTTCTATGAAAAGCCAGAGATCTATTTGTACTATAGTCCAGCAGTTATAGCAATATATCGGTCTATTCCCGGCTAACTAGTCTTTTACCCCTTTGTACTACGGACAATAAGCCCAATCCAGCATAGCCTATTCAGATATCAAACCAATAGTCAAAAGCTCCGGGTCGTTCTCAATTTCTGCCTTTCTTGCTTTCAGCTCCTCTACATCCCAGTTTGCCCAGACAAACCTACCGGCCAAAAATGCCGCTTCTTTACTCGCCAACCATACTGCGAAATTTCCAGGTAATTGAACATCGTCCCATTCCAAGGCCTCTTCCGTCATTCCAACGCTCTTCACTGCATCCGTAAATATGCCACCGGGATGGAAACTGTGAACTCTCACAGCCTTATCCTTCAAGTCAGCTTGCACATGCTGAAGCCAGCGTGTGAAAGTTGTCTTGCTAATACCATAGGTGGCAAACTTCTGGCTTAGAAGATGTCCACCTGAGCTTGAAAGATCAAGGATGATCTTTTCCTTCCCCGATCCCTTTTCGGGAATATTGGCTAGAAATTCTTTTACGAGGTTGATGTTTGCGAATACATTTGTCTGAAAAGTCCCATGGAGCTGATCAACTGGAAGATCGATAGTATCCGAAAATTGCGCGACATACGCTGCGCTTGTCACTAAGATATCGATGTCGGCAATAGTTGCGCGAACCTTGGCAAAGACCTCCTTGATCTTTGGTTCATCATCGATGGATGCCGCAAAGTAATGGAATTTTGTCTTAGGGTGTGCAGCTGATAGTTCCTTGACAGCTTTCTCAAGCACCTCAGGTCTACGAGCCACGATAATGATATTAGAAGCTCCTGCAATAGCAAAGTTTTGGGAAATGGCAAAACCAATTCCGGTATGGCCAGCAGTGATCAGAATTGTTTTTCCTGCTGCAGATAGAGCTGGCTGCGCGCTATCGATAGCAGCATAGCTCTTCCTATGAAACGATTTGGTATAGGGAACACCGTAAGTAGGTCGA